AAAAAAAAAAAAAGTTTAGCACATTGTTTTTTTCCAGAGCTGATGGTGGAAGTACCCAAGAAGTGACCCTTCTAACTTCCTTCTCATCAGCATTTCAATTATTCTGGAAACAGGAGTTTAAGGACGTGGGCGAAGCTCCCAACTGTTGCACAGTTTGCCACAAGTTTGAGAGCAAGGCTAGGTTATTTGATAATTTGGATAGGGGGAAATAAAAATTAACATCAGGAGAGTTGGTCAGAAATCTACTTGCCTGGCAGGTGAAAAACAAAGCCGAACCCTGCTCAGTTACGTCTCTAGTCCTACAGCAATGGTTCAACTGATGTCTACACCAATGAGACATTTTTACCAAAAAAATGAGATGAATAGCATTTTCACTGCTGATATAGTTAAGTGTAGCTGACTTGTGTTTTTCCATTTAACATTTACCACCCTGACACACACCCTGTAAGTTAACCACTTAGTTCTCCATATAGCTATACGCCTATTAAAGCTACTGTCTTTGCAAACAAAACATGCTGCCATATGCTAAATTGTTTCCTTATTGCCCTGTATTATGGAACATTTGGCATGTCAATATAATCCACAGAACATATGGGAATCTAACCGCGCTATAACAGAAAGCAACGCTTAGCTAATCTGGGAAAAAGACATCACATGACTACAGATGTGGTTAAGAAACATGAATAGAAAAGGAACATATATGGAACTGTGGTTGCCTCATTGACTGCCTGCACCCGCAGATGGTAAAGCACAGACAGTGCTGCAGTAAACACAAACTCTTAAAACGCTCGGAGGTAGTTATATATAAGGCCATATGCTTTTTTTTTTTTGACAAACATGCCTCATCATGTCTGCTCTGCCATTCTGATACTACTTAATGCATTGGAAAGATCTAGGTAAATGAGGGGCAGGTTCAGTTACGCTTTCTTTATCCTTAGTATGGGGGGNNGGGGGGGGGGGAAGCAGGAATAGCATTGACCTTGGGCTTGAGCTTCTCTCCTTCATTACCAACCACCAAACACTGACAGCATCCAATTAGAGAGTACCAGCATGGTTCAGATCCCCCAATCAACTGTTGGCTAATGACAGCTTTCTGCTGTGGAGCAACACATGAGGCTAATGGATCTTCCAGGCCTGCCATGTTATCCTGCCCGTGTAACATGTGGTTTCATGTTAAGTTAGGGTTGTTGCACTTATATAACATGCTTAAGAGAGAAGCATGCAAGTGGTAACTGGGTATTAAATGAGTTTTGTGGGACAGGCACAGATCATAAAAGAAAAGATGGGCAGGTTGCACACACAGGGATTTCATTTGAAGCAATTTTATACCAGTCTAGTCCTGTCTTGATGCTTCACTATGTCATCTCTGTCCCTTCCCTCTTCTCCAGCCTCATGACTACATGAAGACTATAAATGTTTCATGTAGGCCTGCCCCAAACCAACTGCTAGCATATGACTCCCATTATCTCCATTTATCCCAGAGAGTCAGTGGAGCACAACTGGGCCTCCGCAGGCAAGAGGGTCTGGTGCTGGTGGTAGGAGTCAGAGGAGGAGGGAATGTACTTCTTGATCAGTTTTGCAGATTACTTTACTGATTAGGACTGACACTGAGTAATGGGCAGGGGAGCAGGGTGTGTGTGAGTGTGAGTGTGAGTGTGAGTGGGAGTGTGGGAGCTGAGGAGCATGACGGTCATGTGTAAGGTTGTTACAATGTACTGTTTGACTGATGCTGTTAGGAAGTGTGACTTGTTCCATCAGGGCTGAAACAGCAGTTCAAGTGTGGCTGTGTCTGTAGGTGCATGTCTGTTTATGCTAACCTGCACTCGTGTGTGAGCAGTGTGTAGTGACTGGCAAGTGAGGTCATGGGAGAGGGCAGACTGAGTGTGAAGTCAAACCTGGAGCCATGCTTACTTAATGAACCGACTCCTCATGATGGGGAAACCAGAGCTTAATGGAAAGAGAACTGTAGAGCACTTGTGTGGAGCCTCTACTGATCAGATCACATTTTCACTGCTCAAAGTGAATCTCACTGTTCGAAAAACCTTTGTTTGACCTTGCTGTCGTACTAAAGAAAATCCAGGAACAGATTTGTTTGCAGGACAAGTTTGACTGGACTGGACACTAACCAAGTTCCAAAAATCCAGCCAAAACCTCACATGCTCATTTTCACATCCTTCTTGAGAATCATTTGATGGTATCTGTAAAGCTAAATGAATCAGCAAACAAAGGGTAGTGGCGTAAATTATACTTTGACTCAACCCTTCTTGAGAATCCTGTACTCAATAATATAAACAAGCCATTGTCTATTTCAAACAATGCATGAGCCAGCAACTGGATGTGCTAGTTCTGTTAATTTACAAAGATTGTAAAGATTTATTACAAAGAAAATGCCATTTTCAGGATGGCTGCCATGTTTTTCCAGCTTGACAAACAGCAGCCAGCAAGTTGGGATCAGAAGTAAGATGGGCTCATATAGTCAGACTGATCTACATCATTATAGACCCTACTTGCAGTAACGGTAGTTGCAAGTAAATGTCTACGGAGCCTTGCCAGACAAGAAGGAGCAACATTTGTCTTTGCAATTTTATGTCAACTCTGGTTTCTGTAATTGTGCAACTGTCATTTTATTAGAAGGAAAGCTCCATCACCAAATGCAAGCTATGATATTATTTGAGCCTAGAAAATATTCTGAATTCTAACTATATTTGACCTGCATTGTGGACTGAAATCTAATGGTAATTCCAGTCAGATTTGTGTATGCTGTGGTGCAGACAGCAGCTCTTGGCTCACAATAGCCAATGACTCAGGAGGGCACTAGAAAGGGCAGCTAAGATAATATGGCTCCTTGCCCAGGCTGTGATTTGTACAGGCAGATGAATAGAAGCCTATTTGGGGCCCCCTAAAGTTCTGTGACGGGGTGTTTGGTGTCCATCACCAATTGGCTCTGGTTACTGCATACTTGTGCGGAGCGCGTCTGGTGTCAAGTCTTTGATCGGTGGCTGCAGCTGAAAGAAACCAACCTCATTTCATACTAATGAAATGTTGAGGACCAAACAAACAAAACACTGCATGGGTGATACAAGTGAAAAACCTTGTGCATATTAGATTCTTATTTTAAAAAGGTAAAATGTTAGTGATACACTGATATTTTTCTCTCAGGCTGGTATTGCTAGGACATATTTATGGTAAGATTACGTAGTCGATACGGCCATACGAAACAAAATTAAAACATCAGAAGGAATAGTTTTGCATGTTAGGGTTATTTGTAGTCTGGGCTGATTGAAAGTGAGAGTTGTTCTTTTGTGAAAGTCTGCAGTGTGGATTGTTAATTCAGGGTGAACACACAGCCACCCCTCTCTCATATAATGAGGCTGAGGTCGTAAAAATGGTCCTAGGGAGGTCAAGACATACCACTGAATGCTCTGGCCATCACCCCAGTACCCACTGGCACAGGAACACTGGCCTAAAACAACACGCCATCACACCCTAGATCCTCAGAAGTACATAAACAATGAAGAGCTCATTCAGTCAAACTTTATGCGTTGTCAGTGGTCAGGTCCTGGCTTCCTTTTGCAGATTCCCCTGAACGTTTCTCCAACGACAGTGACCATCAGCCTCTGCATAAACACAGCCAGCACTTAAAGCCCCTACTTAATGAGCAATTTAAAAAGAGCTTTGACTTTATTTTTTGACTTTGGAATGGGAGTGGTTACCTATAACAACAAATCTGCAATGAAAACAGACGCAGTAATTCAAAAGAACTTCTTGAGAATTGCCTTCTTACAAGTCAATCTGAAAGGTCCCTGCTCAGTTGGTATGAAGACACACAAGCATAACACACATATGCAAGCACACTTCCCTTTGCAGTATATGGGTTTTGCTTCCCTTGTGGTCACATGCCGCTGCTGAATTGGGTGTGGAACGCATTATCAAATACATGA